TGATGCTTAATCGATTGAGTAAATCAAAAACGTTTGAAGTTTAAAAAATGAGCTGCCTAAGCTTCTAAAAAGATTGAATAAACTGCACTGAGGTACGTACCACTAAAGTTGGTTTTCGGTTGTTACCTTGGGCCAGAAACCCTGAGGCACGCTAGTGAACTGACTCAAGCCATTGTCCCCAACCACCCTTAACTCATAGGTGTCTTGTCTGGTTCGCTTCTCGAAAAACAAAGCGTGAAGTTAGTATGAATCAGTTAAGGTTGGTTTGTTTCCGGTTCTTGGATTCGTCTTTTTCGTTTAGCCTCTAGTACTAGTACACGTATGTAGCTGGGTATTCGACACTGGTGGAATTCGGTCAAAATATGCTGTTGCGAAACTAAATACATTCTTATCAATGTGATCCATTCACTATCTACCAATTGACGCAACAGATCTTTCGGAACTTCACTTAACACAGGGACGAACCAATAAATTGGTAGACAGCTGTTACTCGTTTTGGCAAGGTGCCGTATTCCCGATCGTGGAGGAATTGTGCAGCTTGAACAAAGACCCCGCATTGTGCGATGACGAAACTCTGTTCAACCCTGCAGCTCTGCAAGTAAGTTCCTGATCGAATTCCATTTTCTCGTCTCGTGTTTAGCACCATATGGATCAGTTTTCGTAACCGTATATGTAGACAGCTACAAGATGACGGACGGGAAGAGCAAACGATAAATCGGTGTTGCAAAACGCAGATCATGAGAAGGCAAATGGATACCGCTCGACCACCTGAACAAGCGAGTGAACTTGATTGTACATCGAAATTCGTCGCATACGGAGTAAAGGGAAAGCCAGAAGGTTAGGAAGGATTATGCGGTTTGTTGGGTATCATCAGTAGTACAAGTCCATCGACCCAACTGGACCTCAATTGTATGACGAAAGCATATTACCATTTGACCATCAGGTAGCTGATCACTTTGCGTTTATGCATGATTTATCACAACTAACCTTTACAAGCTCCACATGCAAAGCGAAATTCGCTATTTGTGACACTGACCCCATTGACTACCTTCAAAACAGAGTAGCATGTGATTAGGTTTGGTTGAACAGCAAAGTTTTGTTGTTTTCTGTGTACAACCCTCGACAATTCGTTCACCTATTCATGGTCCAAATGGCGTTGCATGCGTATTCCGTTCACTTGGTTTCAGTACGCTGCCTACAATGCGACGCGAAACAGGGAGTAACAATTATTCCAGAAAGGTTTCGCCTGTGACCAACAGTACGTCGTTAACTTCACTTGAACGACAAACAACCCAGTCCAACGCTTACCACAAACTTTTAAAGTCAGTGTTATTTTGGTACATTCATGTTGGGTGAATTTTCTGCTTTCTACATCGTTATTACCACTGATCTCTAGCTGTTCTCTCCCATTTATTTGCATCATCAGGAGTACGTGCTACTATGTTGTCAGAAAGTTTCCTACACCCGGGCCGGACTTAGCGTTCCTAGCACACCTCCTTCAGAGACAAACACGGCTAGCAACGGTCTACGAAGTACCGATTCGGACAGTTGGAACGTAGACAGCGGTGGTGGTCTGATTGATAAGCCAGGAAAATATCCAGACTGTTACCATACATGTTATGCACTGAGTGGTTTGAGCATTGCTCAGCATGCACCGCGACCCCGACCGACACCAGCTGGAGATTCAGTCAAACCGGACGGTCCTGAGTATAAGCCCCGACTCCTCCAATCCGTCGGTTCCCCCAATCCCGTCGCAGCTGTGGATCCATTGTGTGCCGAACTGATTGATTTAGATCCGTTGCACAATGTACTGCATGATGGTCTGGCATTTGCACTGACTTACTTCAGCCGATTAGACGCTGGTCTGTCACCAACAGAGGCCGAGCGTTGCGCAGTCGAAGCGATGGAGAAACACTGTGCTCCGGTTCAACCGGTCACTGTGCGCCCCGCTGAATCAATGGACTGTGCAATAGTACAAGAAGTTGGAGACACGACTCAGGATGATGCATAAAAACACTTGTGCGCGAAGGTTATTTTTTCAGACGCGTGTACTCAGTTCGCACATATCAAGGTGCTTACGCGAGTTCTTCGCTCCATTCAAAATCTTATTCCCATTCTATCAATTCAATCCGAAACAGTTTCCCTCTGCTTCGAATGTGTATTTTCCCATGACGAAAGAAGACCTGTTTTCTGACAAGAAAATGTATATCACAGCTTATTTGCTTGCATAACTTGAACACATTCGTTTTCACCGGGACTCTAAAAGATTGATTAGACTGGTGTTTTTGTTTCCGGCTCCTTTTTAGGTACGTGACCGTAAAGAATAGTTGCACAGATGACCATAGCGGCTCCAACAAATGTAGCTCTGTGCAGAAGCATGATAATAGGGAACAAAAAAGAATGGAACATGATTGTATAAACATATTGAGATACAACAACTCGCGCTAAAAATGACTGCGCACAGAATCCCTCATGGTCATCAATTATAAACAAGAAAATTAAACAAAGGACAGATTTGGGACAACAAATCTTTCTTAGTCGTTCATTGAAGTATTTGATGCCAACTCTATCTGAATATACTCCCGTGGTTTCTTGCCCATTTCACTTGATAGACACCAAACAGAATTGATGAATCCGTTGTATGTCGTAATAAAAATGGCGCTTGTGCCCGTTGATCCACGCCATAGTTGCCCAAGGCGTGCCGGTGGGAAAACTTCAGACATTTTCAGGTATAAACCCCTCACTCAAGTGCGGAGAAACAATTCACAAGTGGCTGAGTCAATTAGAGTCATCCCAAAGATTTTCTGCAACGTTTCTCCTTCCAACGTATGACAGCAATCTTCACATGGTACTCAAAATGGGTAACTAATTGTTCCTACTTAATTCTGATCAAAAAGAGTACAGGGAATTGCAGTGAATCGAACTTTTTCGATTTCTGCCAAGCTCATAATGCATGCAAAATGAGTTTACACTGTGGACAGAGATTGGGCTCACTCTTTTAGAGCGAGAAAGTGAACCCCCTATAGTCTAACCGCATTAACAACTTTTCAAGCATTCCGGTCGGATAAGAAGTGATAACAAAAATGCCTTGGCTGTCTCTTCGTATTGTATCGCATTGAAACTTTTGCGAGTTGCAACCTTTCACTGTCTCCGATCACCAAGGTAAGGGACCCTATGGACCCAAACCTGGAAGGTGAAAGATACATATTCCACCTAATCGCTCGGTGCACCTAACCATGCCTTGTCTCTACGCCATCTGTTGACCTCTATGTAACTTCTTTCAATCTGGTGCAGCAGTGCGGCAGATGACAGCTGGGCATGCGCCACACGTGTCCTAATCATAAAAGCTTAGTGGGTAGAATTTTGAAGACCACTCATTGCATTTTACATATTTCACCTGAGACGAAGTTGAAAAGAACTAACGAAACATCGAATATCGTTGCTGGTTTCGAACGATAAGCTTAGATCGCCACAGATTCTTACGCTATAAGAAGTCTGCAATTACCTCAAAGGGTGACTAGAAGGTAGCAACCCGAACACGGAGATGTAGAGTTAACCTAACATTAGCTTGGGCCGAGACCAGTCCGTGACGGAAATTAAAGTGAAAGTTAGAACTTTGGTCACGCACACAATCCTTTCCGGATTGAAGTCGAAAAATTGGAGTACATGGTGATGACATAAAATGAACTCGTCTGATATCACTATTGGCTAATTGCCTTCTAGTAACCTTTGCAAAACCTCGTAGGTACGCTTTGTGTTTATTCACTTTGAAACTACGTTAAAAGGGAATTTTTCCGCGATCGATCGCCTCTGGTTGTACTTCGTTAAGAGCAAATAGCATGAAATAAACACATTGGTGTTGTTTCTAAAAGTGGGCGACTAAGGTTTCATTGTGCAGCGTAGCATTTGAGTACAGACGTGCGCCAATGTCGCAGTTGTGAAACGGTTTTCGGTAAGTTATTTGAAAAACAATCCAAATTTTCACATTGGTTGATGCTGACGATGAAAAAATTTATTTCGGGGTTTAAAACGGAGAATTAGTGATGTGTTTGATCGTGTGTTACACGCTACTACGGGTTTTGGACCCAGTTGTTATACCTTGACAAGTGACTGAAAACCATTACAAAGGCATTGGAGCAACAAAAATAGCGAGGATTGGAGTGCCTATGAGAGTTATTATTGTTAGATTGAAATCGNAATCGGTGCTATCGCAAGATATCAAATATTCTATGATTACTAGTACCATCCGAATGTTGTTTGCGTTCATATTTAGGAACCTGAAGTCGAGAATGACCAAGAGATATGCTAAGTAGAAATATCAACGAACTCCAAGTTATGTAACGGCACATGACCCAGCGGATGGTGGGTCTCCTTGTGTAGGACGTTATTGACTAGTGATTCGAACAGGACCAATAGTCGCACTGAATACGCGAAAGTGCAAAGGCACGCACAGAAACGCTCAGTTAGGATGCGACTATTCGGACGAGCACATGATTTTCAAGAGTAGCGCAAAGAACTTCAAATTTCACTTGAGTGGCTTATGCGACCTGATGTAAAGCACATTGTTCGAAGGTAACGAGATGAAATTACACAGTAGTTAACAAAGGTACCGGTTGGTGTTTACCTGGGTGACTTACGAATTGGTTTTGATGTAAAAAAA